AATGTGGAATAGTCTCCCTCAAGAGTTGGTTCTGGCCAGCTCAGATTGCTTTAAAACAGGCCTGGATTATTTCTTGGATACACAGAATATAACTGGATACCAACATTTATAGGTAAAGTTGATTCAGGAAATAGCCGATTGCCTCTCGGGGGATCAGCAAGGAATTTTTTCCCCTGCAGGAGCAAATTGGATCATGCTTTGCTTGTTTTTTGTTTTTTTTTTTGTCATCCTCTGGATCAACTGTGGGTGTAGGATTTTAACTTTTTTTTTTGTAATGGTTGAAGTGGGTGGACTTTTGTCTTTTTTCAGCCAGACTAACTATGTAACTTTAAATGGATGAGACCATCCATTTACCACTGGCAGGGCTGATTAAAATGATCAGCTTTTATTTATTCATGTAAAACCCTACTCCCAAAAGGAAGAAATTGTTTGCTGTAACTCAATATAAAGTATGAGTTGAAGTTTGGCTTCAATTTGTTATTTGTATTCAAATCTGCTAATACATTTAACACTCATCCCCCCAGACTGACAATGCTGTTGTCTGCTGTGTCCTGGCTCTTCACTCCAGAGCTGTGTCTCACTAATATAGGAGCTGTGTTACTGGCCAGATCACCAGCTGAAAACAGAGGGAAAAAAGCCAAAGAAAAGAAAATTGATGCAACCACCATGATTGGTAAGCTGCAATATAATACATGTTTAGTTTTGGGTTTAATACTGCTTTAACCTGGCATTATGTTCTGTAGTTTGGTAACCCTTTCAAGGTTGGTATGAAGTCACTAAGGCAAGCCACCAATGAACCATTTTTTTCCTTCCACCACTGAATGTGTTGATGGGGGAATTCCCCCCCTCCAGTGCTATTATAGTCTACAAACAAGCCAAGGAGACTGTGGATATCCTCTGGGGTGTAGAAGCTGTCTGCCATGGAACCAGAACATTTACACCAACATTAATAACTTAAGATAGCAATACCAATAAAATAAACCTACGAGTCCAGAGCTATCTTTCTACTTTCCTCAGCAGTGCTATTGTATTCTGTACAGGGGAGTGGGTAGTCCTCCTGACCAGCAGAATACAATAATTACTGCTAGTGCCTATCTACTGGCGGTAATCCCATGCAGAAAAATCCAACAGGCTGGTTGTACCCAAGTTGAATCAATGGTACAATCAGCCTGCCCATACATGGATCAAAATTCAGCTGATCCCTGCTGAACCAGTTGAATTCCGATCCATTTATGGCTGGATTATAACATTCAAACTTCTCATGAAAGCAATAATAGTGTTAGTAACCATTCCCAGTAATGTAATTTTCAAGATAAGCAATATACAGTATATATACTATATTGCTAAAAGTATTGGGCACCCTTACAAATCATTGGATTCAGGTGTTCTAATCACCTCCATGGCCACAGATGTATGAAATCAAGCACCTAGGCATGCAGACTGCTTCTACAAACATTTGTGAAAGAATGGGTCGCTCTCAGGAGCTCAGTGAATTCAAGAGTGGTACTGTGATAAGTTGCCACCTGTGCAATAAGTCCGTCTGTGAAATTTCCTTGCTACTAAATATTCCATGGCCAGCCGTTTAGTGGTATTATAACAAAGTGGAAGCAACTGGGAACAACAGCAACTCAGCCACGAAGTGGTAGACCACGTAAAAATGACAGAGTGTGGTCAGCGCATGCTGAAGTGCACAGTGTGCAGTAGTGGTCAACTGTCTGCATAGTCAATAGCTAAACACCTACAAACTTTGTGTGGCCTTCAGATTAGCACAACAACAGTACGTAGAGATCTTCATGGAATGGGTTTCCATGGCCGAGCAGCTGCATCCAACCCTTAAATCACCAAGTGCAATGCAAAGCGTCAGATACAGTGGTGTAAAGCACGCCACCACTGGACTCTAGAGCAGTGGAGACGTGTTCTCTGAAGTGACGAATCACACTTCTCTGTCTTTCAATGTGATAGACGTGTCTGGGTTTGGCGATTGCCAAGAGAACAATATTTGCCTGACTGCATTGTGCCAAGCATACAGTTTGGTGGAGGGGGGATTATGGTGTGGGGGTGTCTTTCAAGGGTTGGGCTTGGCCCCTTAGTTCCAGTGAAGTGAACTCTTAAGGTGTCAGCATACCAACACATTTTGGACATTTTCATGCTCCCAATTTTGTGGGAACAGTTTGGGGATGGCCCCTTCTTGTCCCAGAATGACTGCGCACCAGTTCACAAAGCAAGGTTCATAAAGACATGGATGAGCGAGTTTGGGGTGAAGGAACTTGACTGGCCTACAAAGAGTCCTGACCTCAACCCGATAGAACACCTTTGGGATGAATTAGAGAGGAGACTGCAAGCCAGGCCTTCTTGTCTGACATTAGGACCTGACCTCACAAATGCGCTTCTGGAAGAATGGTCAAACATTTTCATAAACACACTCCTAAATCTTGTGGACAGCCTTCCCAGAAGAGTTGAACTCAGTATTGAACCCTAAAACTGGGATGCCATTAAAGTTCATGTGTGTGCAAAGGCAGGCGTCCCAATACTTTTGGCAATATAGTGTATAAATAAATATATATATATATAACATAATACACTATTAAAAAAAGAAACTGAAAGACTAAATTAGCAATTTCACAGAAAGCTATCTTACTCAAAGTGAAATGCAAGGTTCATTATTAGGTTTTCTTTACTCCCCATCACCCAGTTACCATAGTAACCAGCAATGACCTGTATCTAGTGTCAGACACATCCAGTGTATTGTAGCTCTGGTTATTGTCTGCTGCTTCTTACAATGCTTCTAATGTGACTGCACTGTTACCAGTCTACAAGCTCTATTTGCTATTAGCTTAAAATTAAACTTATGTATTATCATATATTTTCCTTGACATTTTTAACAATGAGAGGGCTCAATTAAACATATAACTGTATTTTAAATGATAAGTTTTGTTTTATTTTAAGTGAAACCAAAATTATGTAAAACAAATTTAGCAAATGCCCCCTTAGTCCTCCCCAACACTTAGGATCCCATTTATAAAGGAGAACAGATTCCACCCCTTGTGCACCACAGGCCATCTTTGGAAATACTCCGGACTGTACCTGCATATTAAACTTTTTAAAAATAAAATACAGTTCATGGTACAAAGCTGGTAATGCTCTGTGGTGGCAAAATACTGCAGTGAATACTTGCCAATCGGAGGAGAACACTGTCACATGACCTTAAAGAGAAGAACAGAGTCCTCCTGCTTCTTAACCACTTCCCGTCCGGCACATGTATATAAATGGGCAGATGGGAGCAGTGCAGGGGCGGATGGCCATTTATAAATGTCCTGCCCGCTCCCTGCTTGTGCGCACTCCGTTGTACGGGACCTCTGTGTGAGGTCCTGATCATGTGACCACTGATTGGCCAATCAGTGATCACATGAAGAGTAGTAAGCAAGATGTCACTTCTGACATTATTGCTTACTACGTGTGAAATCTGTGAATGATCACAAAGATCACATGGTACAAGGCTATTCACAACAGCCTTGTACCATGTGACAAGCTGTGACCAATCACAGCTCCACAGTATTTCTCAATGCAAGAATGCAGCCCGAGAGATGGAGAAATTATTGCTTTTATAGCCTTTATGGGTATAAAAGCAATCAGTGTAAAAAAAAGAAAAGAAAAAATCTTCATCACCTCCCACAAGTAGTACAGTGTCACTATGGTGACACTGTACTGCTAGGGTGACAGTATGTTAAAAAAAAAAAACACATAAATACTATTAAAAAATAAAAATGTAAAACATTTTTTTGAAAACTTATAATTTTTTGGTTATAAATTAATTTGGGTTATTTTTTTTTTACTAAAAAAATAACTGAATACATTTTGGCCAGGATTTATGAAGAAAAATTATTTATTTATAAAACTGTATAAGAAAATTTTTTTTTTCAAGTTTTGGACTTTTTCATTTATATAGCAAAAAAAAATAAAAATCCCAGTGGTGAATAAATACCACCAAAATAAAGTTTTATCTGTCTCAAAAAATGCTAAAAAATTAATTTGGGTACAGTGTTGCATGACCGCGCAATTGTCATTCAAAGTGTGATAGCACTAAAAGCTGAAAATTGGCCTGAATAGGAAGGGGGTAAAAGTGTCCGGACTTGAAGTGGTTAAACAACACCTTTCAGAGTCCTTAACCCCTTCACGCCTAATGGTAAAACAAATCTTAAAGCCTAAGCACAATTTTGCAACTTTGACATGTTAAAGCTGTAGATATCATCACAACTACTTTGTGCATCCAGGTGGATTATACCTTTTTTTTTTAGGACAAATTGGACTTTCACTTGGTGGTAAATGGTAATGGATATCTTCTGATTTGTTTTTATTATCAAAGGAAAACTGACCCAAAATAGTAAAAAAAAAATTCTTTTTTAAATTTAGTAATTTAGCTGTATATTTCTTGCTACTACCATAACCAACCACCAAAGAACAACCCCAAACCAATTTCCTTCTCCTGATGATCGCAGTGATACCACATATGTGTATGTTAGTCATTTGTACCCATAGTACGGCCCAGAAACAATAGTAAACATTTTGGGGTTTTTTATATTTTTTTATCCTGCCACTAACTGACACTGATTCTAATTTACCAAAAGCCTACAGGGCACTCATACCCTCTTCCTGCCCAGGCCAACTTCCAGCTTTCAGCGCTGTTGCACTTTGAATGACAATTGTGCGGTCATGCAACACTGTACCCATATGAAATTGCTTTATCTTGGTGGTATTTAATCACCTTTTGGGTTTTCTATTTTTTCTTAACCAAACCAAAAACCACTGAAAATTGTGAAAAAAAAAGTTTTTTCTAAGTTTTTGTTATAAAATTTTGTAAATAAGTGATTTTTCTCCTTCACTGATGTGTGCTAATGAGGCTGTACTGATAGGCACTGATAGGCTGCACTGATGGACACTGATAGGTGGCACTGATGAGGAGACACTGGTAGGTGGCACTGATGGGCATTGACAGGCATCAGTGAAGGGCACTGAAAGGCATCACTCATATATGGCACTGATAGGTGGCACTGACTGGCACTGATAGGCAGCGCTGACTGGCACTGTTAGGCGACACTGATAGGCAGCACTGATGCGCACTGATAGGCGGCACTGACTGGCACTGACTGGCGGCACTGACAGGTGACACTGATTGGCAACACTGATAGGTGGCACTGACTAGCATTGATAGGTGGCACTGACTGGCACTGATGGGTGACACTGAAAGGCAGCTCAGATGGGCACTGATATGTGGCATTGATGTGGCACTGGCAGGTGGCATGGATGAGCACTGAGAGCTGGCACTGATGGACACTGACAGGTGGCGCTGCTGGGGCTACACAGATCATCAGGGCACACTGAACATCAGTGCTCTGATGATCTGTGTACATGTCCCCTCCGAGGAATGCCGATTACCGACTCTCCTCACAAGCTGTCAGCGTGACAGCTCGTGAAGAGAGAAATGCCGATAATCGGCATTTCCCTGTTTACATGTGATCAGCTGTGATTGGACACAGCTAATCACATGACCGAGCCGACATCTTCGGCTCTTTCAATGGATCAGTGATCTGCTGTGTCCGTGGGACACAGCGGACCGCCGATCGCCGCACTGCACTCTCCAGGAGCCGCGCATGCGCTATGACTACATTACTATTATTAAACAAGCAAAAGTTTGTGTAGCAACAAACCAATGGTAATAGACCTTGTGACAATATCCACTAGTACAAATAAGAAATAGTACAATTCAGTGGATTGATTTAACTGGACTGGCTCTACTGTGGGTATAGAATTTTGCATTTTTTTTTTTTTTTTTTTTTATGTATTCTATTTATTTATTTCCTATTGGTTAGAATAAATGAACTTGTGTCTTTTTTTGACCTGACTGTGTACTATGCCTATGTAACAATTCAAGCATTAAAGCATATATACAGAAATACTGCTACAGGGCAGCAGGGGTGTGAAAAATCACATACAGTATCTCCCAGAAGTGAGTATACCCCTCACATTTTTGTAAATATTTTATTATATCTTTTCATGTGACAACACTGTAGAAATTACACTTTGTTACAATGTAAAGTACTGTGTGTACAACTTGTATAACAGTGTTAATTTGCTGTCCCCTCATAATAAATCAACACACAGCCATTAATATCTAAACCACTGGCAACAAAAGTGAGTACACCCCTAAGTGAAAATGTCCAAATTGGGCCCAAAGTGTCAATATTTTGTCTGGCCAACATTATTTTCCAGCACTGCCTTAATCCTCTTGGGCATGGAGTTCACCAGAGCTTCACAGGTTGCCACTGGAGTCCTCTTCCACTGCTCAATATTAGAGACCTTGCGCACCTCCACCTTCCATTTGAAGATGCCCCACAGATGCTCAATAGGGTTTAGGTCTGGAGATATGCTTGGCCAGTCCATCACCTTTACCCTCAGCTTCTTTAGTAAGGCAGTGGTCATCTTGGAGGTGTGTTTGGGGTCTTTATCATGTTGGAATACTGACCTGCGGCCCATTCTCTGAAGGGAGGGGATCATGCTCTGCTTCAGTATGTCACAGTACATGTTGGCATTCATGGTTCCCTCAATGAACTGTAGCTCCCCAGTTCCAGCAGCACTCATGCAGCCCCAGACCATGACACTCCCATCACCATGCTTGACTGTTGGCAAGACACACTTGTCTTTGTACTCCTCACCTGGTTGCCGCCACACACGCTTGACACCATCTGAACCAAATCAGTTTATCTTGGTCTCATCAAACCACAGGACATGGCTCCAGTAATCCATGTCCTTAGTCTGCTTGTCTTCAGCAAACTGTTTGCAGGCTTTTTGTGCATCATCTTTAGAAGAGGCTTCCTTCTGTGATGACAGCCATGCAGACCAATTTGATGCAGTGTGCGGCGTATGGTCTGAGCACTGAGATGCTGACTCCCCACCTCTTCAACCTCTGCAGCAATGCTGGCAGCACTCATACATCTATTTCCTAAAGACACCCTCTGGATATGATGCAGAGCACATGCTCTCAGCTTCTTTGGTCGACCATGGCAAGGCCTGTTCTGAGTGGAACCTGTCCTGTTAAATCGCTGTATGGTCTTGGCCACCGTGCTGCAGCTCAGTTTCAGGGTCTTGGCAATCTTCTTATAGCTCAGGCCATCTTTATGTAGAGCAATAATTCTTTTTGTCAGATCCTCAAAGAGTTCTTTGTCATGAGGTGCCATGTTGAACTTCCAGTGACCAGTATGAGAGAGAGCGATAACACCAAATTTAACACACCTGCGCCCCATTCACACCTGAGACCTTGTAACACTAATGAGTCACATGACATCGGGGACGGAAAATGGCTAACTGGGCCCAATTTGGACATTTTCACTTAGGGGTGTACTCAGCGGATTAGACAGTAATGGCTGTATGTTGAGTTATTTTGAGGTGACAGCAAATTTACACTATTATACAAGCTGTACACTCACTACTTTACATTGTAGAAAAGTGTAATTTCTTCAGTGTTGTCACATGAAAAGATATAATAAAATATTTACAAAAATGTGAGGGGTGTACTCACTTGTGTGAGATACTGTATATATATATGTAATTTTGCCTTTCCGGGTAGGCGGCCTCAGCTTTCAATCACCGGGTCCCGAGTGATTGCCGAGTAATACCGACAGGGGGAGAGAACTATATGTAAACAATACAGTTCTCTCCCCTGTCAGCTCCAGCACACTGCTTTAGCAGTGTGCTTACAGTGAAGCACACACAGTCCCCATAGTGAAACAGCACACAGTTAATCCTTTGATTGTCTCAGATGTTAACCGCTTCATGCTCAGTGCTATTAGTACAGTGTCAGTGCTTTTTATTAGCACTGATCACTGCATTGGTGTCACTGGGGATGTCAGTGACACCAAGTCAGTTCCCCCCAGTGTCAGAATGCTTTCCACAGTCCTGCAGTCTCGTTATAAGTTGCTAATTGTCACCATTACTAGTGAAAAAAAAAATCCAGTATATATACCACCATTTGTAAACGCTATAACTTTCATGTAAACCAATTAATTTGCATGTATTTGGATTTTTTTTTTAGCAAAGACATGTAGCAGAATACATTTGGCCTAAATTTATGATGAAATTAGATTTTTAAAATTTTTTTATTGGACATGTTTAATAGCAAAAAGTCAAAAATATTGTTATCTTTTCTCAAAATTGTCTGTCTTTTTTGGTTTATAGCACAAGAAATAAAAAATGCACAAGCAATCAAATACCAACAAAAAAATGCTCTATTTGTGGGAAGAAAGGATGTAAATTTCTTTTGGGTGCAGCGTTGCATGACCGTGCAATTGTCAGTTAAAGTAAAGCAGCACCGTAATGCAAAAAATGGCTTGGTCAGGAAGGGGAGTAAAGCCTCTGGAGGGCAAGTGGTTAAACACGTTTCATAAAAAAACAAGATAATGCAATAGCATGCCACAAACACCCTCACACCACCACTGAAAATAGTGCACATAAAAAGAGTGCATTTTATTCTATAATTTGTCCTGTTTAAATTGATACCAAAATTATGATTCGGGCACAAATCTTTTCAAAGGTATTTACAAAAGAACTAAAGTATTTTTTTTAAATGTTTTACTTTTTTCCATTGGAATTGTGTAAACATATATTAAATATGTAAAAATATTAACAAACAAAGCAAAAATTAAATAATAATATTGATATTATTATTATTATTATTATTATTATTATTAATAATAATTATTATTAGTTAATAGAAACAAAAAAATAAGCAGGAAAATAATAGTTGAAGAGAGGAGACAAGGGAGTTCATCAGGGCTGATTAGAGTCAACTAAGGGTTAATAGGAGGTTTAACAGGAACATATTAAAAAAAAAAAAAGAACAAACCTTTTTTTACTTTTTCAGGTTGCTTTAGCTGATAATTTGCAGATCTAAGGCCATCCCTTTGAATTGCAGATGGATGAACAGAATGATACAAGAGTAACAATATCTTACTTTGTATCTTTGTATAATCTGGAACAGTGTTGTTTATAAATACTATCAAACTGCTTTTTTGACAGCTACAGCTGCCAACACCTTCTCTGAGTATACAGTTATATCGGTTTTGATCAATGGAAGCTGACAATTACTATATACTGGGAGGGAGGGTCCCAGAAGCAAGGCAGAGAGACTGGATGGGCTACACATGTCCTGTGTACAATGATTACGGCAGAACTCTGGGTACATCTTTTTTTGTCCCATGCAATGGGGCTGTGCCCGCACTGCATGAGATAACTGCTTGTTTTGTCCAGGGAGCGCCAAAAAGCTATACTTCCCTAATCCTTCAAAACTCCTGAGAATGGCACTCCCCCACATCCAGTGGTGGACTGGTCCTGCTGTCCTCACATCTGGAGCCAGTCTATGGGTGTAATGATGTCAGGAACAGTCCATTCACAAGACTGCTAGCATACACGGGGACAGAAGAGGCAGGATTGGCAGATTAGGTGAGTAAATCTCTGCTTTTACCACCAGTGGTGTATTTAGCCCTTGTGCTGCCCTAGGCAACACTAAAATTGGGCAACCCCCACCACCACCAGCACCCCCCCTTCAGCCCCTCACCACCAATAAAACTGGGCACTCCCCACCACCGCCAGCACACAACCCCTTCCCCCCAGCTCCTGCTGCCACTAAAATTGTGCAACCACCACCAGCACCCCCCAACCCCCCCTCTGGCCCTGCCGCTGCCACTCTCAGCCAAACAAACCCCCCTCAGTCCCCGCCACTGCCCACAGAGAGAGAGAGTTAGTCAAGCACTAACTTTAACCTCTCCAGAGCCGAACCCAGTGCCTTCCTTCCTTGTACGGGTAGCTTACACTCTCCAGGAGTGTGCAGCCTCCTTGGATTCCATGGCAGAGCCTCACCAGGTCCCCAGGTACTCAGGTGGAGCCTCCCCCAAAAACATTTCTTCCCTAGGCAAACCCCTTGTTTGCCTCACAGTAAATACTCCACTGCATATCACCCCTAGATAAAGCAAGCAAATAATCCATGCAGTTTGAGCACAGCCCCACTGCATGATTTACAAAAATTGTGGCCTGGAATTGTGCTTTTAAGTTTTTGGAAATGTGTAGTATGTTTAATGCATACAACTACTTAAGGAGACTCTGCAGGTATAAAATGCAGTCAACTAAAGGTACCTGCAGCAGACTCCCAAACCACCATCCTCACAATATACCAGACTCTTCTTGCAGGAAAGTTTCAGAACTTTCGGAGAGTGCTGAAGCTTGGTCCCCTTACTGTCTCCTGCACAATGCAGTTAGCCTGTGAGGCTGGATAACATAGTGATGGGCCAATAGGAATGGTAAAAAGAGGGGCTTCGAAACAAGCTTCAACACTAGCCAAAAGTGTTAGAGATATGCCTCTGAGAAAGGCTTGGCATTAAGCTTATCTTGTCATTTTTCATTTCAATGGTTTTATAGATTTTCATGGTATGGACCAACATTGTAGTTACACTAATGTTACCTATCCATCAGGTGTGAGTCAAGAAACATTGTGAAAACACATGTATCTAACTATTCACTTACAGTTAAAGCTGAACTCTGGAAAACAAAAATAGTTCTCCCTTGG